ATAAAATGATGGAATATTACTTGCGGTTATTCACTTTCATTCTTCCTTTTTTTTTTCTACATCAACGTTTTTTATTTATTCCGATAAATTTAGTGGTAAGGGACTTAGAATAGATTAATTTATTTCATATGGTATTTTGAATACCGATTATTGTCACGTGATTGTTTATATATGTTTATTACTTAGTTTCATCATAGGTTACTACACGTGTAATAATGATAAGAATATGATTAGTAGCTTTTGGCCTATTGTGCAATATTTGAGACTATTTTGATGATTGTCTTTTGCGAGACAAAAATAAAAAAAAATACTATTGACTATGTAATGTGCACTTTTATTCTCATTTTACACTTCTTCTTTTCTTTCGTGCATGCACATCTTTGTACTGCGTCCGTGCTTTTATTATTATTTTAGTTGTACACGTTCGTAAGCTGAAGAGATGAGTAATATATTCTATGTGGACGTCTGTTTTTTTTTTGAAAAGCTTTCTTTTGCATTCAGAAAAAACAAAAATATTGAAAAAAATAGTCATTTTTCTCTAATATTGCTGTCAATCTTATTTTCTTCTTCGTTCGTCTCTTTCTCTTATTCATTGTCGCTCAAGTGAGTAGGAAGAGAACTGGTTTTTATGCACATAGTAACATCTGTTTTCTATACGAGAATGTATATCAGATGAAACGATACAGATGCATGTTGTTTTCATTGTTCGACTCTTACATCGTACGCTATGTAGTGCGAAAGTTGTGTGTATGTGCAAAATTGAGCATCATAGAGGAAAAAAATACAACTCATTTTTGGACAATAACAATAATAATACATTTGCCTAGATGAATAGAGATAGGAAGAAAAAAAGAAAATAAGTAACGTCAGCTGATGAATGCGATTGCTTGCTTTCACTTTTTTTTTCCTTTCTATTCAAATCAACGTATCTGTTTTTCAAAAATTTCTCTTCTCTTTTTTTTTTTTTATTTATCAGCATGCTTTCAACCCATTTCTTTCCTAAGTACTTTGTAAAATACATTCTTCTTCCTAAATTCTTTGTATGCAGATGGTTTAACTTTTTCTAACATAAAAAAAAAAGATGCAGGTTGAATCACGCTCGTTCCATTGATAATAAACAGCTGAAAAATTCCTTTGCGTACAACATTACAGGAGCAATAGTAAGTGAAGAAAAAAGAATAGGCGAAAAATAACAAAAACAAAGCTTCTGTTTGCTGTATGTCATGAAAAAACTGTTTTCATCATCAAATTCTATGCACATACCCACATCCATTTTTTTTTATCCTTTCGAGTTGCAAAGAAAAAGAATAATAATAATCATACTACATGTCTTGTATTTTGAGTAGGAAAATATTTTTTTATTTTTATTTTTTTATTTATTTTAGAGGTACACTAAATGGCCTACGACGAAGTGTCACCACCAAAAAAACGTTGGCAACAACGAAGTTGTTCTTCAACGCCCTCACCATTATCACTAACACAATTTACCTTAGACGCAAGTCAATGGCGTCATCAAAGTGTGCTGGTTCTTGATAATCAAAATTCAAACATATATCATATGGGTACAATCCTTGATATAATTGATTCTCATCTTATTACAATATCACTTCGTGATCAACAATCATCAACAATTAATGTTGATCTATTACAACCAAGTTGTAATTATTTACCATCAATTATAATTGATAATATTCCCGCGTGTCAAGATCTTGTTATTAATACACAAGTATGTGTTCGACAAATAAAAACTAATAAATTAAATCAATTTCAATGTGGTCGAATACGAGCTAAACATCCAACACGTTTAGAATTTTCAATTGATTTAAATAATTCACATAATAATACTACTACTAATAATAATAATAATAATGGTGACGAAATAAATCAAGATGAAAATGATAAAGAAGATATATGGTTTACAAGACAAAATATTCGTTTATTAATTGAACCGTGGCATGAAGAGTTACGTCTTTATCGTGAAAATTTACCGATGTCAACGATGTTTCGACCAATATCTGCTGAATTATCAACAAATAATAATAATGATGAACAACAAAAAATAGCATTTCCAACCCCACCAATTGAAAATAAAGATGAAGATGATGAAGAAGTTGAAAGAGAATTACAAAAACAAGAACAAACAGTTAATAAATTACAAGGAATAAAAAAAGGAGATATTTTTACAATGAGGTAAAATAAAAATTATTTCTTTATTTTTATTTTTATTTTTTTGATGATTTTGTTTTTCTATTTTTAAAGTAGTACAGGTATACGTAAAAAATTTAATGGTAAACAATGGCGTCGTTTATGTGGTATTGATCAATGTCAAAAAGAATCCCAACGACATGGTTTTTGTTCAAAACATTTATCACAAATGCGTGAACCAAATGCTTTTTCTCAACAAATGCAACGATTTGTTGGTTCAATGGGAAATTTTCATCATATTGCTGCTTATCCATTTCTTGCAGAACTTTATCAACATCGTTTTGATTATGGTCCAATAATACCACCACCGCCTCCACCACTACCAACAGTGCCATCAATTTATCATCCAACAGCTCCAGTATTACCGAATGGTTTGAATACACTCTCTTCACTTCGATTGTATTCAACACCATCACCATCATCGACAACATCATTACTAGTCAATCCAAATCAATCACCTAGTGCTTTTGTACCACTTATACCGGTTGTTCGACAACATTCCGTCGATTTAACTCCACCACCATCATCTTCATCATCAACACCTGTTCTATCAAATCATACGAATTCATCTATTCGTCGATCGACTGACGATGATGATTCAGATATTGATATTGAAACGTTACCATCGCCTAGTAAGATTCAAAAAAAGAAATATATCAAATTAAAAAAATTGTTTTTGTTTTTGTTTCTTTTAGCTAGTAAACGACTTCGTTGCGATTATAATGGAAACGGAAAGTACAATTATAATACAAATACATAATATTAATATTATGTTCTACAACTGTTACTGTAATTAAAACATTTTTAAAAAAAGCTTGTTTTTTTTTGATAAAAACAGAACAGTTGATCGTTTTATTTTTATTTTTCTTTCCATGATTCTTTTCTCTTTCTGTTCATCCTTTGTCTGTTTTCGATACAATCAATTTTTTTTGTCTTCTTACCTTTCGCTTATTTCCTTTTCTTTTGTTGTCTTAAAACATGTGATGAGCTAGTCAAGTCGGATCAAATCACGGTGTGTATGTTTACCTGTTTAGTGGTTAGCAAAAAAAGACGGAAACCTTGATGTGATCGAGGCCGATTTTGCACTTTCATTTGTGTCTTTTTTTATTTCAAATACTATTTTCTTGTTTTGTGTCCGTTTCTAAAAGAGATGTGCCGAGTTTGTTTTCTTTCTGATAAAGTTGAACGTGCCACTGTTGATCTCACAAAATTACTATTATTGGATGTTATCATCTGGTGTGGTGAAGCATCTTGTTCTCTTTTTTTAATTCTGTGTATCCGGTTTATCTTCTTTCTCTCTCTCTCTCTCTCTCTCTCTCTCTCTCTCTCTCTCTCTCTCTTTCTATTTATCTTTTTGATTTTATGCATAGTTTAGAAATTATAAGTGTTATAAACACAAGATGTCTTCTTGTTTTTTTTCTTTTGTTTATTCTATGAACTTTAATTATTGAAACAGTGAAAGAGAGAGAGAGAAAAAGCAAAGAAGATTTTGTAGCAATGTTACATCATTGTAGCATAATTATAAACATTTCAACTTTATTTTAATGATATAGGTTTAATAGCTGTACGTCTTTTTTTTAGAAAAAAAATCATCAAAGGTAATGAGTTTATATATATTGAAAAGTTTCCCATCGATAAGCTTGGTTTCAGTAAATATTGAATTTACTGAAAATCTTGTATAGATTGAATTAATAATCGAGTAACACTTGTTGTAGGAAACATTGCTTTAGATCATAAAGATATAGTAAAAAAAATATATATGTAGACTAACAATAGAAATAGGTTTTATTGAATTATAATTCAAAAAATAGTGATAAATATACAAATCTTTTCATTATATGTTCAACCATATTGCTTATTAATTGGGTGGACTTGGTTGAATTAGTTTGAAATTGTATATAATTAACTAATATTAATTAACTTTCTGTTTAATTAATTTTGCTCTGGATAAATCTCATTATTGAAAAATTATCGAGTCAGATTTATTTTTGCAATATACCGCAATGCTAATTGGTGTCTTTTCAATTCATAAAACTGTTACTTATATATAGAAAACTCGGATGATAATTATGTATGTGAATGAATAACAAAAACAGCGATATTTCACTAAATGAGATGATAAAATATAATTAATTAACCAAATATTTTTTAAGAATCTTTTGTTATAAACAAGAAAACTACAGTATACACGACGCCATAATCGTGATATATGTTAGTACACAATTTTCTCCTTCTTATCTTGAGATAATATATGTAACGTGATCTTATCTACTTGAATTGTGTAAATGGTGTTTTTTTTTTTCGTATCTTCCATTTTTTATATCAAGTCGGAATAAAAAAGACTTTATTGAATTTTACAAAAAACAAAACTTATGAATTTTTGCTTCGACTATAAACTCATGAATGTTTCTCGTATATTGATCGTTACTATTAAAACATAAACATATGTAAATTAAACTATTGAAATCTTGAAGCATGGTTGTAATAGAAAAAAAACCATGAAGTAAACATGACTTTTAAGAAGTTCACAATAGAATATAACGAATATAAGCATTTTAAATTCATTAAAATCTATCTTTTTTTTTTAAATGTCAAAGATACATTGTGTACCATAATCTTTAAGATAAATAAATAATGTGTGTGGCTCATACAGATAAAATTTAGTTTTTCATACACATTGATAGTTTATCAGGTTACGTTACTTTCTTGGGAGAGTATATTCTATATATTGAACAAAATGCCCATATTGAGAAGATAATGTAAATAATCAAATGACTCAATATCTTTTGTTTCAGATGTCTATTGAAAATGAGATCGTTGGAGATCAGGTTTGGTTTTTTTTGGATATCTGTTTCATTTAACATATATCTTCTAGATACCATTGTCATTCAATGACAATACTCGACATTTAAACTGGACAGTAATTGTAATCACAGCACCAAATCAAGAAAGTGCTTATGCATTTGATTTTAGTCTGTATACTACAATATCTATAGATTCTGATGAATAATTTTGTCATGTTATAGTTCTTCAACAACGACAACGTTATGGATTAATCGATAAATCAACTATAATACTCACTCTTAATGATCCACAAGAAAAACTCGGTAGTGGTGGAGCAACATTAAATGCACTCTTAGTTGCTACAGAAATTCTGAGTGCTAAGGCTGGTTACTCTGTTAGTTAACAATTATTTTTGAAGCATATTATGGAATATTTATTTTATTAGCTTATCAATACAAATGTCTTACATTGCGCACATATATTAATTCTTCATACAGTAAACTTACATTATTTTTTTAGAAATAATATCATTTATATTTGATTATTAAAGGGTCGTATATTTCCATATGATGCGTGTCATCGTTCATTAGCAACATTACCTGCTCGTTTTGGACCGAATCATCCATGGCTTTTAACTAATTTAGATTTACTTCTACATGATTTTAATAATCTTGTAAGGCTTTTTAATTCTCTATAAACCTAAGAAAATAAAATGAAGAAAATATCTAGATTGCTTCAAGTCAATTGCCATATGGTGTGTGGATTAGTAGTACTGATGCATTTGTAACATTACCGAAAAATGGTATATTTCAAATGATTGATATATATATATATATATATTTATTTGTTATGATTCTTTTTTCTTACATTTTAAGGTATTCAAGTTCCATTTGATAGTGATATTCATGCATTAGCAACACTAGAAGACGTTCAATATGCAACCGGACATGGTGTTTACATTATTAATAAAGAAAAAGTAATAGAAAAAGAAAACGTTTTTTTTTTATCTAGATTTTCTTCTATTTTTTTTTTTGCTTCAGAATATTGTTACAAATATTTTATATCGTGCATCTATTGATGAATTGAATAAATATGCAAACAATGATCACAAAGTGCCAACTGTAGGTAGAATTTGGAGAAAAATAATCAATATTTGTCAACTTACAAATAGTAAAAGAAAATAAAAAATATACCGGCTGTAGCAAAAGTTTTGCAAAATTTTTTGTTTTGCATCTAATGCTGAAATGTTCCATTGAATGTTCTAATCGAATCACACGATAAAATCTTTATATGTACTTTCGAAATTTTAATAGACTGCTAACACTGAACATGTGTGCTATCGTATTATTTTCTAAAACGAAAAATAACAGAACATCGAAAATTATTGAACTTTGGTTTTGATTGTTATTGTTTATTTATTTTGGCCATAATATTTGAAACCAATCAGAGACCTAGTATGATTCGCAAAGTACGAGGAGTATTACTCATCTTCATATCAAGTATAATGTGAAAAATAACGTCTGTGTCAATTGATTTGGATGCCCCTCCTTGTGATAAAACATTTTTTGTTCTGTCACTCTCAATAACCTTGTCTAAAAATAGTGAGGTCGATGTACAAATCGCTAGATTAAACGTCCTCGATTATTGAAAGAAATAGTAAAAAGGAACTAGGCTTAACAAAATGATACAATGAAAATTTGGATTTAATTGAAGATAATGAAAATACATTGAAGAAAAACGAGTACCCATCTTGCAGGAAGTATTGATAGAATTATGAATGTTTTGGTTCTTTACAGTGCCTGGAACAGTCCATTTTATCTAACATTGATTTGATTAAAAAATGATCTTAGCAGTTTTCAATCACATAATGGACTTGTCTGATGTTTCCTAATGAAAAGTAACACGATGACACATGTATTCAGAGTTAGAAGTCTATTAAAATTTCGATCGTAGCTATTAAGATTTAATCTTGTGACTCGAGTATAATGTTCAATAAAATATCTTTTGAAAAAAAAAAGATCTACGTTGTTTTATATTCCTAAACAGAATTAGATAATTAATAAAAAATGTTGCAAAACTTTTGCCACACTCGATAATCATAATAAATTAGTTTGTTTAAAGGATAAAAGTATAAGATGAAACACTTCGAGTATTTGTAAAGAAATAATCACAGAGATAATATCGATCGATAGCAAAAAAAATAGAAAACAATCAATACTTGAAAAACTACCATAGAATTGCGTAAATCTATTCTGTTGATAATGACAAAGTTTAAAAATGTTTCACTCAAGATCTGTTGAACAAATTCATCAGAAACTCTATTACTAAGAATAATTGTTTTTGTTTCAAATATAACATATTATAGTAGAAAAATAAGCTTGTTGTTAATATCATTTCATTAAATTGAAATATTCATTACGAGTTATTTAATCTTCTTCATGAAGACTATATATTATTTTTGTCATATTTAGATTTGTAGTATTGTTTTTTTTTCGGTTAATTTTGCTGAAAAATTATTGAGTAAGACAATCTAGAATTCAAAACATGTATGTATTCAAAAAAATTCTGTTTCTATTAAGATTTTCATGCTATTCCACCACTTGATGGTTGTACTTATGAAGGTATCGATAATGGATCACAACCAAATAAAGTAAGATTAATAAATAATAATTGTTTTGCTTTTGTATTAATTTTTGTTTCCAGTTATCACTCTATTTTGATTTTCTTCTTGCTGCTTGTATTGATGTTTCATTTGATGAATATTTATCATCACATTATCGAACTTATACAAATGATTTAATAAAACAATCAGAAATTTTTCTATGGAATCAATTAAATGGAAAAACAAAATTTACATGTGGTAAAATATCTTGTTTATTAAAATATTTTTTTTTTATATTGAATGACTTAGGAATTCTTCCAAATAGTTGTCATTTTCAATATATTGATACACAATGGCCTTATTTACATAAAAATAATATTCATTCACAACGTGAAGATATTCAATGGTCATCAATTCAACATTCAATTATTGATAAAAAACAAATACAAACACAAAATTTATCAATTATAAATAGTATTATTGATAATGAATGTAATCTAGGTGAAAATGTAACAATACATAATTCTATTGTTGGTAATCATGTTACATTAGGAGATAATTGTTGTATTCTATCAGTTGATTTTTCTAAAGAAGTAATAAAAAATAAATTTTTTTATTGTTTATTTATTTTATATATATATATATATTTATTTATTTTTTAAGGATTTTTATTTAATGCTTCCATCTGATGTTATTATTCAACGTATTATATTATCATTACAAAGAACAAATGAAACATCAAATAATCAATTAGATGTTTATACAATTATTGGAATTCATGATAATATTGATCGAGGATTTACAGATGAAAATTTTACTATTTTAAATATGTCATGGAATAAATTCAAAGAACAAACTGGTATTGATATTTGGGATTTATGGCCAGATTTACAGGTAACAATACAAGTTTTATATTTTTTATCGAATAGTTGATTTTATGAGGTGCAAAATTTGTTTTTCTTTTTATACATGGTTAGACAGAGCTCAAAGAGTTGAGTAAGAATATGTGTTTTGTTTTTGAAAGTCTGTTGTTTAAAGAAATCGAGTTGTTTCGATAGTTCCGGATGGTCTATTTTTTCTAATAGTACATTTTTTCGATTTTTAAAAATTTTCCATTTCCTGTGAATTGTCAAACTGATATGTTCAGATTTGACATGAAAAATTGAATCCATGAGATTGATTTTAAAATTAGTCTCACAGATTCAGTCTTTCATGTCAAATCTAAACATCAGTGTTTTTTTAGTATGAAAAATTTACTTTTAGAAAAAACAAATCATACAGAACTATTGAAAGAACTCGATTTCTTTTATCAAAAGACTTTCACAAAAAAAAAACCACATATTCTTACTCAGCTCTTTGAGCTCTATCTAACCATGTATGAAAACAAATTGTGTTCGAATTTTGCATTATTTACACCTTATATATATGTATATTTTAGAATAATCCTGAGGAAAGAACGTTAGCTAATGCTCATCTTTATCCAGCATTACATTTCGATAATATTTCATCATTAAATGATGATTTACTTTGGTTTTTTAATCCATCAAATGAATTACGACAACGATGGAAATCATCATGGCGTTTATCACTTAATGATATATTAACTCGTGCTGATCTTTATAAAGAAATAATTCGTCGTCAAGATTTATTTCATAAAATATCTCGACAAAAAATTCTTGATTTATTATTTCTTCATGGAAGTAAACAAAAAACTGATGATTCATATTTAGCATTATTAAAACAAACTATTGTTGATGGATATAGTAAAGATATGCTTGATGCATTTGATCGTGCATGTTTATCAAATTATAATAAATTACAAATATTATCTTGTCTTTTTTCAGCTATTGCTAATACATTAGCTGAAATGGCTGGTGGAGATCGTGCTGGTCTTCGTTCGGGACCATATCTTAATCGTGAATGGCAATATGCATTATTAATGTTTGAAGAAGGAAAATATCTTTTAAGTATTCAACATTTAATTAAACAAAGACAATTATGGATGGATAGATCTGATCTTTTAATACGAGCTGCTCGGCATTATGATGGTGAGAGATATTTTATTTTTAATTTCATGATATTGTAAAGTATGTTTTAAAAGAAATGTTAAAAATATAAATTGAGTAATGTCTCATTCAGCTTAGGGGGGGGGGGGCGCCATTTTCGCCAAAAAGCGAGTTGGCCCTTCCGAGTTTATGACTATTGTACCACGTATTATGAGTCTATAGTCCGAAAAATAAATGTTCGTCCTCCTGAAATTTTAAATTGCACCTTCGGAAGATAAAATCTAGATAGAACACTGAAGTAGAGCAATTATCTTATCTCTTCCCTCTTCACATGAATCATCATAGAGACCGACATGAAACTAACATCTACTGCAAAATTGTTATTATAACGCATAATCATAATAATAATTAAGTATTGAATTTTATAGTAGAAAAATAAAGGATCTTTCTCTTTCTAACATATGACTAAGTTCTTAGAGTGTCTATTTTGTAACAATTAAAATATCGCTATTTTGGCTAATTTCGAAATACATTCATACATTCCAATGAAAACATTCTTATCATCAAAAATAGAAATTGTTGCTAAATTCTATAGTTTTTCACATTTTTATCTCACAGAACTTATTCTATGACTTATTCAAACATAATGCTGTTACGTTTTTGGCACACTTTTTTTCAATTATCTTGAAAGATTTAAGAGCTAGAAAGTTCATTTAAACTCCATTCGATGTAGCTTATCACACTCTATTTATGCTATAAAGATGGCCCTTTTTTGATTGAAGTCTCGGACTTCTAGGAAGGTTTTATCATCGGGTAACGTTGTTACATGAAAAGACCCTTTTTCTATAGTGTCACTGAGAAAACTCTAATTTCTTGCGAAAGTATTTTTCCAAATGAAATACTTCTAGAGCCATTTTTGCAGACCATCAAACGGACTTTTAAGCGTTAAAAAAGATTTGCTTTAAACTATTTTTGCTCAGATAAAAAATTCAAAAAACAATAAACATAATGCCGTTACACAATTTTTTGTCGATCAATGTTGAGGCACTTAGGGTGCTCAGAAATATTTCATTTTTATAAATATTGGCCTTTTCTGTATCCTTAATCATTCTGTGCAAGAATCAAGTTGCTACATCAAAATGAGAGTCCATTAACTGTACAGTAAGTGGGAAATTCCGCAAGAATGTGCTTGTTGTCCTTAGTGACAAAAATCAAAAATAAAAGAGACCATTTTGTAGAGAATTAAATTCTGCATCGAATGATATGTTACGCAGCATTTTCTAAAAAAAGTTCTTGGTTAAGAAATTCAAAATATCATTCTTTCAAAGAACAAATGTCGAATTCGTAACTAGCGTGAAAAACTGCACCTAATTATGCATTCAAATGTGTCCAATTAAAAAAAAAATTTTCTTTTTTTAAACTTGATCAGCGAACTGTTGCATTATGTAGACAAGTCCTCTAATAGTTTTCAATATCAATTTTAGGTGCAACACAAACATTGATTAAACAAGGTGTATTAACTTGTCGATCGAAATGTTCTATTGATAATACTAATAAATCAAATTTATTACATCCAAAACATCAACAAGTTACAGTAGAATGTCCTGTTCGTCTTGATTTATCTGGTGGATGGACTGATACACCTCCAATTTGTTATGAACATGGTGGTAGTGTATTAAATGTTGCTATTACAATAAATGGACAACGGCCTGTAGGTGCTCGTGCACGTCTTATTGAATCAACAACATCAATACCATTTGTTACATTTATTCTCAAAGGTGAACATGAAAAAGATGATAAAATATATGAATTACATCAATTAGTACAATTTACAGATTATAATCAGCCACAACGTCCTTGTGCATTATTAAAAACATGTTGTATTTTTACGGGTATTATTGATATAAATGCAACACAAGAAATGACATTAAATGAACAATTAAAAAAGAATTTATCTGGTTATAGTTTAATACTTGAAGCTTGGTCAAATGTACCTGTTGGTTCAGGTCTTGGAACAAGTTCAATATTAGCTGGAGCTATTTTACTTGCATTATGGAATCTTATTGGTATTGAAAATATTACAGATAGTACGATTATTCGTAAGTTTTCTATGTTAGTTTTTTATTTTTGTTAAAATGAAAGAGAAATTAATATTTAGATGGTGTTTTGGTTGTTGAACAAATGATGACAACAGGTGGTGGTTGGCAAGATCAAATAGGTGGTTTATTACCAGCATTTAAGTTAGGAAAATCTAATGCTCAATTACCACTTGAAGTTAATTGGCGTCAACTTAATGTTAAAGATAATAATAATACAATATTTTGGAATGATTTTGATGAACGATTAATACTTGTTTATACAGGTCAAACACGTTTAGCACGAAATCTTTTACAATGTGTTTTACGTAATTGGTATTCAGGTACGATAAGTCAATTATTTGATGAACTTGAAGAAAATGCTATACGAGCAGCTGAAGCTGTTGAACAAGGTTTGTATGTTCTTTTTTTTTTTATTAAAAGAATATTTTCATAAAATAGGATTATTTAGGAAATTTATCGAAATTGGGTGAATGTATGTCAATATATTGGCAACAAAAATTACGTGTTGCACCGGGTTCTGAACCAGAAATATGTCGTCGATTAATCGATCTTTTAACGCCTTATATATATGGTAGATAGAATTTTAGTTCCTTTTGTATTGTAGTCTTCTTTATTTGTAATGTTCTAGGAATTACATTAGCAGGTGCTGGTGGTGGTGGATTTCTTGCTGCTCTTGCTAAAACAACGGATGATGCTCGAAAATGTCGAGAATTAATAAATCAAGAAAACATTCCAAATGTATCTCTTTTTTCGGCTCAAATCGATCGACATGGACCAGTTATTTCATTTTCATAATATGATCGTATTGAGTAACAATTGTATAATCGATTCTATTCAATATTAGTAGTTTTATTCTTAGAGAACATTTGGAACTTAGAAGTTCCTCTTTTTATTTAATCTAAAATTTTCTTGTTAATCATTTTAAAAAAAACCGTTCGATTATCATATTTAATATTAACTGATAGACATATATTAACTTTTAATAAATGATATTTGTCGTCGATATCACTTCGACGTTTACTAGAAGTGCTAATATTTGTCGTGTCTCAAGTCATTGAATTTTTTGATGAACTTATTTTTAGTTTGTCTTCTAACAAGGAAAACTATCTGAATTGATACTCGCCGTTTGAATTCATATTGGACCTCCAAGAACACTTTGATGAGACTAGGAAAAGCCTAAAAAGGTTTGTCCGCATAAGTCTTTCGAGCTGAGTTGAAGTCGTTTTACTAAATTTTCAAACTAAATTTATTTATATACCGAAAAAATCAACCAAAAAAAAACAGAATTTCGACGTAAAATTTTGCTCACAAATAAGTCTAAAGAATACATAAAATATCTTGAAAGTTTCAGCAAAAAAGAATGTTCTCTTGACAAGATATTGAATATTCAAGTAAACTCAGTTTATGTATCATGCCTGTGATAAATGATTATTTTTTGGAAATTCGATATCCCAACAAAAGAACATTCTTTTCTACTGTAACCTTCAGAATATTCTATGGATCATTAGACCTTTATATGGACAAAATGTTATATTGAAAATCCGTTTTTTTTTTTTCTTCAGTTTATATCTAAAGCTGAATCGAAAATTTAGTAAAACGATCCTAACTCGGCTTGAAAGACTTATGAGGACGACCTCTTTTAGATCTTTACTAATTTCGTTAAGGTGTCCTTGTAGGTGCCATATAAGCTCAAACACCAGATATCAGTTCGGATGATTTTCTCATAAGTGGAATTTATATTTCTTTATTTGTTTAATTATTGATTCCATATTTATATTGAAATTTCTCTTAAAATGTTTTTTTTGAAAAATTTTTTGAAACTAAAGTCTATCATGCTTTTTGTAATGACAAGGACATGGTCAACTACAATTATAATAAATGATGCAGTCGTTAGAGTATAAACTTTTTTGTTGCAAGACAAATATAAAGTGCTAGACGTTTCGAAGAAAAAAAAACATTTCTTTAGATTTACTTCTGAACACACTTGTACATTCATAGAATCTTTATTTTATCTATCAGATTTTATATCAAAAATTAGGAATTTTTTGTTTGTTCTTTATAGATTAGTTTACTGTAACTTAGGAATATTAGATGCTACTGTACTTCGACTATCGACATACTTTCTAAAATAACTTTTGATATTCAAATGCAGTGTCACTCAGATTAAATTCTTTCGAATTGTCAAAATATACATAATTTCGTTGGAATTACTCACACATCAAAACAATGTTTCTAATAAAAGACAATGATCACTACGCATAGAACTGCTCTTCATTTGAGATGGTATAATTTTCTTTGAATTTGTTTTTTTCTTATGCTAAAACACATATACATAAAGACTAACAACAGTGTAGATTATTTAAAACATCACTAATTTATAATAGATTCTTCATCAATATTCAGAAATATGGTTAAAGATAAGAATCTCTATGTATTTTTCGGCCTTGAAGCCTTCAATTGTAGATTACATTTGGAAAGTCATCATTAGAACTATCGAAGTAATTTTAGAAAACATCTCATATATTCGATAGTCTTCAGAAGTACAAACAATACATTCTATGATGATAACTTCTCTTTAAACGATCTTATCTCTTTAAGTAGTATATCACTAGACGATACAAATAATCATGATGTCTTGAATCCTTGGTATTACAACTAGGACAAGAGAACATTAAGAGTAATTGGATACTCGAATATACAATTACTCACAAGATATGTATACCAAAAGGCATAATATTCATTTGAGCCAAAATTGATCATTTTGTATCGTAAGAGTTACTTTACTATCAGTTGATCAATTTTTTAGAATTGAATAGATAAATTCAAAACAAAAGAAAAACAAAACAGTTGATGTACACGACAACATTGTCGTGACAATTTGAAATCTTTTCATTATCTTATTTTGCTTTTTTAGAGAAATGAAAGCTGCACAATTGTGAATACAAATCTAACAAATTCGAATTAATCGAACAAAACAAAAGAAATCAAGAAAAAAGAAAAAAAAAGAGAAAGGAGAAAAAAAAGGGAACAGAAACAATAACGACAATTAGGGGAAAAAGATGACACATTTACGAACACACACACACATGCACACGCATACACGCTGATTTTCTTTTTTTCAGCTGAATGAAAGAAGTCATTTTGTACAAAGTTTATGACAATAAGAGAGACAAATCAAAACAAAAATAGATAGAATTGAGAGAGCACCGGGCTTATTATGTATATGTAAGAGTTGTATAGACGACAGAGAAAGATTCAGGTAGATCTTTGTGTGTATGTAGCGATTGCATATTATTGCGAGAGGCGACATGCATACAGAGATAGATGTGAGATCCGACACGGGCCAAATAAAGACAAAAAATAATCTTAGTGAAGTGATTTATTATCTGAAAGGAGGAGCAGGTGAAGATGACGATGATGAAGAATTAACATTTGATGTTGTGGGATTTGAAGGAACAACGGATGCCATTGGAAAATTTGATGATATTTGTCTTGTCAATTGTTGTTGTTGTTGTGGTGGTAACGAAGTCGGATAGGATGGTACAGATGACTGTCGATAGTATGATGGAGGATAAATATTTCCTGTTCCAGTCGTTGTATTTGACGGTGAATGCATAACATGTGATGAAAGTGGATCATAAGATGATGATGATGATGATGATCCATAATTAGATGATGAAGGAAGGCTATTTTGTGTTGAATTCATTGATGGTATTGTGGAAGACGATGATGCACATGTGGCTGTCATTATCATTGAAGATGAATTTTGTTGTGGAGTTGATGATACATTTACTGAAGAATTTGTTGATGATGCATAATTATAATGTTGAGACATTGGATATTGCTAGAATATAATAAGAATATGAATATATATATATATTTTTCTTCTTGCAAAAAAGAAAAAGAAAAATTCTTCTTATTATTTTGATCTTACTTGATTATGTGATGGATATGAATAAGAAGGATAAGAAGAATAAGGTGACATCATTGATGGATATCGATTAGGATAATAACGATTATGTTGTTCAAAATGTGTTGGTCGAGTCGAATAATTATACATTTGTTGTTGTTGCATTCGATATGCATCAGAATACTGTTGAGTTGTATTTGGTAAATATGGTGTTTGTCTTAATGGTAATGAATCTGATCTAGTAATCATTTGTTGTTGATATCTCTTATTATATTCAATTGTTTTTTGTATTGATAAATTATTATTATTATTATTATTATTATTATCTGACACAAGAAATGCTGTATTTAATGTATTTAAAAATGTAATTAAACCATCAATTGTTAAATAATCTTGAGGACTAGGACATATAGGTAAAATAAATGAATCGAATGTTGTTAAATCAAGATCTTTAATATAGGATGAAAAATTTAATTCGGAAAATGGTATTAATGAAATAGACGAAGAAGATGATGATGATAAAGGAAGTATATTTGGTGATTGTGATAATAAATTTGTTGATGGAGATGTTGAAGTTATTAAATTTGATACAGGATTAGTATTTGTATTATTATTAAGATTAGTTGAATTTATTATTGTTGATGGTGATGCTGTTGAAGGTGATGATGTAGATAAAACCGATGGAGAAGAGGATGAAGATGGATGAACAAGAAAATCTTGTTGATCATTGGATGTTAGTGGACACTGTTGCTGTGATAAAGATGAAGATGATGGAGAAGAAAGTATATCGAGTGGTTTTTGTTGTTGGGATGTTTGGCCATTTACACTGACATTAATCACTGTACTTAATGTGAAATGATGTGTTGGTGTATGAGCTTTTTGACCACTACCATTACCACCACCACCACCACATTCAATATCAATTTTTTGAGTTAATTCAGCTTGAAATGGATAACAAGTCTAGAAATAATTCATGAACAATATATATATATAGAACTTAGTGAGTTTTTATGAAAAGTTATTAGATTAATTAATATTATATTAAATTAATTTTATTATAAACTCTTAAACATCTGCTATTAATATAATATTTCTTTTTTTAAGATATTATTTGACCGTAATTTTAATTTTAGCAAGAAAAAGAAAATCTTCTATTTTTTTTTTGTAATGAAAGACAAAGTCATTGAAATTATTGTTTTGTTTTTCAAAATTTTGTTTTTTTATAGAAATAAACATGCACAATTTATAAAATTTCTACGATATTCTCTCAATGTAGAAAAGATAACTTTTGTATTTGTTAAGGTCTTTTATAATGAAAATATTTTTCGAACAATCAAGTTAGACTCAAATAAATATATATTCATTTCTACTAAAATGTAAAAAAAATAAAATTTAATATTAAATAAATATCTATTCATTTGATATTGATTAAGAATAAATTTAATCATTCTATGAAAAACAAAATTATTGTTTTACAATCGTCATCTCACAATTTAATTTTTCAATACACAAAAAAAAAAAATATTTATAATCAATTTATAGTTTAAAATTCGAATACTTCTCTACGGCTTTCTTCTCAATTCATTATTGATTATCATTCAAGTTAACAAATATTAGAAAAAATAAAATAAAAGTTGCTAACGATATCTACATATAAAAAAGAAACGAAAAGAAATACCTATGAATATTTACATCATTTATGAATAATGCAAGTTAAATATATACAAGTCATTGTTTATTAGAAAAAAAAAAAATTTAACTTACTTGTGATTGAGTATGATCATCACTTGTATTAAGTGATGATGTTGATGATGTTGAACCAATTCCATTGGTATTTGTTTTTTGTTTTTTCCTTACATGTCCACTACTAGTACAATTTGTTGAT